TCCGCCAGGAAACGACGAGTCAGGACGAATATGAAAAGCAAACGAAACGAGACAATTGATTTTACAGCGCACTAGCTGCAGGGAATGCTCTTACACACAGTGTTCGCACGCAGTCCTAGGCAAGAAATATTGTACAACTGACCCTGGTGCATTCATGTTGCTGCCCTGGACCCCCCCCTAGCCAACCCCCCCCCTTTGGAGCCACCCGAGGGGTAAGGGATGTGCGGCCGTACGGCCTGCGGCCCATGTACCAAGAATTGCCAAGACCTGAGGCAAGTAGTTGCTCAAGTCTGCCCGCTTCAAAGCATCCGTGCTCCCAACACTTGCGGCAAGGGCTCGAGAGTGAACATGCCCATAGGCCCCTACACAGTTCCTTTTTGTGGTTTATAGTTGGAATCCTATAAGGTAATCCCAAAAAGGAAATACTTGGGGGCCTATGGGTGCAGTCGACCCTTCTCGGGAAACATGCGTTCATCAAGTCTCTGCCATTCCATGTGCCACAAAAAACGACGTCTCAAGCAGCTCGTTGAATTCTTGCCCCTTAGTCCCTTCAAGGCCTGCTACCTCCGGGTGTGTGTCTGCTCAAAACTTAAAATACCGGGTTGTTTTTTGCGGCTAGCGTTTATACATCTAACTATGCGTATAGATATGTACATAAAAGTGAATAGAACTACCCAAAGGCCCCTAAGTAGTTCCTTTTTTGTGGTTCATATTTAGAACCCTATAAGGTAATCCCAAAAAGGAGAGCCTATGGGTATAGGCTACTGGGATTCTAAAGAGTCGTGGCGGCATGGTTGCGACGGAAACACCGCGGCTCTGGAAAACAGTCATAGGCATGGCGCACGCACACTGAGAGATAGAGATAAGTTCCACATCGAGAATCGAAACAGTAGCCGCGCTGCAAGAACCGTCATGCATACTTGCATATTGTATGTCGATATATAAATATATGCTACCTTCCCTGGAACCTACCTCGAAGCCTTGTGTTATCCTTTCTAGACTACGTTCCGACTCTACTCCGAACACAAGTCTAATATCCCACCACCGTTCGAACCAAAATAAAGATACTAAGTATGGCTGAGTATTTCCTGTTTACAACCACACAAAACAGCTCAAACCAAGATAAAGATACTAAGTATTGCTCAGCGTTCCCTGTCTACAGCCACACGAAGCAGCTCAAACTAAGATAATGATAGTAAGTGTTGCATAGCATTCCCTGTCTACAGCCACACAAAACCATTTAATCCACGATAATATAACGAACTATTGTCTCAAATTCCAATGTCAACCTCACACTAGTATTTAGAATCCCCGCGTAATTGCCAATCCAATTCCCAGAACGCCAACCTCACAACCTTTCATTTGTGTTAGCTTTAGAACAAATTTCCATCCTTTGGCCTAAGTATTGTGCGTAAACTTGCTCAACAACCCATAAAGGCCTAAATAATCTAAGTGAGCATCGCTCTTAACCTTGCTACTGTGAGCCAAAACCGAACACAACACTGATTGAAATACATAAACATTATCCCTAGTCCGATTCGTGCAAATCATGTTCGATATATTATAACCCATAGAACATAAATACTATCACTAAGCAATGCCTATACCCCTACTCTACAACCGAAAGATCACAAACAATTTTAGCAAGTATTGCTTTGAAGCTGCTAAGGTGACTCCTAGCCAACAAAATCTAGTTGAAGCATGTTTTAAGCCAGGCTCAATTTACCTACTCAGAGACACAGAAGAGTCTTTATGAAACCACGTAGAATAACACTCCATCAGAAGGACCAGTGCCCCTACCACATCACTGCTGAGCCTGCCCATGGCCGCGAAGCTTGGAGCGAAGGCTCTCTAAGGCCGCCTGGAGGGCCGGGTCCTCGACAGAGATCCAAAAAAAAAACGGCGGGTCTCCGTTTCAGGGCTGAGGAGTTTAGAGAATGGATTTCTTGGGTGTTATATATATATGTATACATACATACATACATACATACATACATACATACATATAGGGGTGTGTTTGAGAGTCCGATGCTGATGTAAGTCCCGTATTCACAGACAACGAAACTAAGCCATGTTGTTCAATCACCCCCCCTGGGTTTCGTTATAACGTACAGGAACATGGATTCTAGGACCACTCAGTCCTCATCTTGGTCGGGGGACCTGTGGATTACCAGGCCAATGAGGCTCGAGAAGCTCATCCGCGCAAGTGTCTTGCGCAAGTTTCGAAGCTCGCGGTCGGCCAAGAGCTGAGATGATGACGTGGCAGGATCCAGCTCCATCTCGAGAAGACCCAGAATCTCTTCGGCCTTGTCCGCAAATCCCCCATCCTCTGCCTTGCGGGAACAGAAAGGGAACACCATCGACAACAGCTCCGGGCGTGTGAGCTGCTGAACCATAGCACGTTGCCTCTTGTCGAGTTTGGCCATCTTCTCCGTGTGCGGGAGGTGGCAGTAGGCACAAGCCTCACCGTTCTCGCAGTGGCCAGACATGAAGTAGATGCAGGGGCGACGGCACACGTCGGGGTGACCCCAGCTACCCACACTGAGAACGTCCACATGCATCTGCTCGTGCATAAGATCTGGCACACCGGCGACGCTCACCGGACTCGGAGAGAGATGCTCCGCAGGGTTGCTCGAGATCTGACCACTCTGCGGCCACGCATTCTGCGCGAGGCCGCCCACGTAGCTGCGAATGGCGGCCTCTTCGTCGTTCATCTCTGTGGCGAAGCTGCTGCAGCGTGCGCGGCCCGGTGGGGAGCTGTGAGCACGTTTTCTGGAAGCTTGGAAGTCCTCCTTCACGTCAATGAATGTGTTGCGGTACTCGAGTTCCAAGGCCATGGCGTCACAAGCGTGAGCGTAGAATCCGAACACGGGCAGTGATTGGAAATCAGGCTGATCCAAAGCAAGGTACTTGCGAACGGCTCGCCTAGGTATACCGGGTGTTGGCAGATGCTACCGCGAAGTCTTCAAGGGGTCAGGGCATGCAGTCACTGTAGCTTGCCACACAGGTCCTGCAGGCCCATTGAATTTCTTTGTTACAAGCGATGTCGACGTCATGGAGTTTGGCCAGCATCGTCGCACTCAAGACAGTCTAACGACCAAGCAGCAAAAGCTTCACAACCCTCCTATCTGTGCATCTGCATAGGTCCCTACAAGACCAAAGTCCTGAAACTCGAAAGCCGAACCCCAGGGCAATGAGGCAGCCCGAGGCACTGTCGCCAGGAGCGAAGATAGACAAGTCCTGCAACACGGCGAAGCTTTGGGTCAGGGATGGTGCGTCTGTGCCTATATATATATATATATGTGTGTGTGTGTGTTTATAGTATTTAAGGGGCTAAGCACCAAGGTGCATATGTTACCGCTTTATGGGGCTAGAAATCCCACATCTATACACCCTTAAAAACTCCTGATTTTGTCCAAAGGAACTCGGCAAACGCGTCCTTCGTGAGGAACTCTGCTGACTTTGGTGTGCCAGGCACTGGGAGGCTTGCCTGCTTCGGCTTCACCCTGATGATTTTAAGGCTTACTGGTCGGGTGTCGGGTGTGTAGCTGAAGAGGGTCTTATTAATCGCGCCCCCCCCCCCAACAAAGACGTTGAAGGTGGTTTAATTACTTGGGGGTATGTTTATCTCTATAGTCTACTGCCACTTTTGATCGAGGGGTTGTGATGGGCTGTGCTCTTGCTTCTGCTCTGGCTCTTGCTCCCGTGCTGGCTTTTGATCCTGCTTCTGCTGCGTCTCGTGCGCCTGCTCCTTCTCTTGCTGTTGCTCCCGCTTTCGCTCCTATCTTTCTCCCGCTCTTGCTTTTGCTTTGATCTTGCTGCTGCTCTTGCTCTTGGTTTTGCTCTTGCTCTTGCTCTTACTTGGGTATTTGGACCCACCCTCAATTCAGAATAGGTTTTAACGGGCAGGGATGAAATCGGGGGGTGTAAATAAAAATTCATGGCCGCTAGGGTTCTGCAAGGTTTTCCTGTGTATTACACGAATCTAGACCCTTGTACCGACACTAAAGACACTGATGGAGGCTTCGGTTTGCAGTTGGCCTACTTTCGGCAACGCTTCCCTAAACTTGGAATGCCTCTTGAACGAAGGTATCCGGTGCTGCCGATCACCCACTTTGTAGCACATCCACTTAGAGCCACGGATGGGAACAACGACCTGCGAAACAGATACCGTGCCCACTTCTTGCCTTTTGGAAGATGTACACCTGACGTGGACTCCACACTCCACACCCCCGATGCCTGGAAATCTTACATTTACCCATAAGCCCCTAAGTAGTTCCTTTTTGGGATTACCTTATAGGATTCTAAATATGAACCACAAAAAGGAACTTCTTGGGGGCCTATGGGTAACCCGAAGCCTGGCACGAAACAAAACATTCTCTGGTCCGCAAGGCAGACCGTACATCTCCGAATGAATCTGAAACCGTAGATCCTGAACATTATGACTTTAAGCCATATAAGTCCTAAGCCTTCGCCTGTAAACAACCTGAAATCCGAATCCTATACCCCATAGCATTCAATCGATACCCTATAAGCCCTAAATCCATCCTTAAACCCTATAAACCCTAATCCCTCCTCTTGAACCCCTACTCCGAAAGCCCAAACCCCAAAAACCCCCCAAAGACCCGACCGCAAAGACCTCGCTGGGAAAAGCGACATGCAGGGCGAAGTTCCAGTCTGCGCTGCCTGAGCATACAGGTTGGAGGCTTAACAAGCTATGACGATGAGTTCTATGACAGGTTCTATGAGGATTCCCTCAAGCCTTCTAGGTAGGCGCTGCTTTATTGCGCAACTAGGACTCAATGAGGGCTCTTGGATTTGAGCTTTCGGATGTAAAAAAGGGCTCAGTGATCCAGATCCGGGATTTGAACATGAGTTCGGATTTGGCGGGATCTTTCGGGCACCGCGCCCGTCTCGCGTGATCCGGGAGGCAGTGGTCAGCTGAGTGCTTCAGGGTTTCGAGTTCCGCCTCAGGGCCTTACCCATAGGCCCCTAAGTAGTTCCTCTTCATGGTTTATGTTTAGAATCCTATAAGGTAATCCCCAAACGGAACTACTTAGGGGCCTATGGGTAGATTGAAGACTTCAAGTCTAGGAGTTTGGGATTTCAGCGCTTCGGACTTAGTCTGCGAGCTTCGGCGGTTGGGGATCACAGCTTTCGGACTGAGGGGTTGGGTCCTCGAGACTTCGGAAGCGAGTGCGCCGGGGGCTTTCAGTCTTTGGATTCCAGGATTTCGGCCTGAGGTTTTCAGGCGGATTAGACGTGAGTGCTGTAGTAAAGGCATCATAAAATAAGGAGAGCCTGGAAATTTGTGTAAGGGTGTATTGCGACTGCGGCTGATTCTTCAGGCCCTACAACGGCCTGGAATCAGGGTCCCAAACTTTCCGAAACCTTATAAACCCTACACCTCAAACCCTAAAGCGCAGGACCTGTACATCCGAAGCCCGGCAGTTTTTTGGGGGACCAATGTGAGGCAGGGGAGAGTGCTTTCCGAGAGGAAGCTGAGGCTGGCCGTGCGGGGAGCATGGAGAACCCGAATGACAAGAAGGTACTAGATTATTAGATTTAATCCACTTGACCTCTTGAGGCCTTGGAGAGCTTGCAAGCCTTGAGAATGGATTAATGACTGTCCGGCGATTACAATATCGTTCTCTACGAAATGGGTGAAGGGGTTCTGAATGTTAAACCTGCGTGATCCCGGGACAATTAAAGGCTAATCTTCGGTGCGTCTCGCAGAAACCCAACCGCGGCAGTCACACGACTACTGGCCACGAAACCTCAGCTCAATATACGTATACATCAGAAGAGGTGGTAAACAAAACAAGGCAACCAGAAGGCTCTTAATCAATTAAAAGCCCGAAAAGCCCTAAAGCACCAAACTTCGAATGGCTCAGAACCCAAAACCCGACTCAACCTAAGGTAGGTGATAGCAGGAATGTAGATTAGTAAATGTGTAGGGTTTAGGGTGTAGGCAATATCATGTCTTAGTAGGTACTTGGGCCCTTGGAACCTTAGGGCCTTAGGGAAATGTCCCCGGAACCCGAAACATAGCCAACTTAGAAAAATAGCACTACCCATAGACCCCTAAGTAGTTCCTTTTTGGGGTTACCTTATAGGATTCTAAACATGAACCATGAAAGGAACTACTTAGGGGCCTATGGGTAGCTTGGTTTTGGACCCCTGCGGCCCTAGGTAAGAAGGAACAAGCTTCGTGCGGTCCCAGATTAAAGGGAGCTTCATTAGGCGCATACTTTGTGAGGCCTCTCATCGTGTTCTTCAACCACGGCCTCAGTGGCCCACAAAACTCACAACACAAATTCAGAATGTTCCTCAAGTCAGGCATCCTGGATCGGCTAATTAAGCTCTATAAACCACTCCGTTTAACCTTTTTGAAAACCCTCGCGACATGCCTTGAACTTGACACCCTGTTTTGCACCCCTCGAATAAGCGGACCACAAATAAGGCTGAGTGAAGCTATGGTACGGAGCTGAGGCTCCACCTGAAGCCCCCGAAGCTCTTCGGGGGCACTGGCCGACGGCGAGGGAGGACCAAGCATCACCTCGGCGATCGTCCCGGAAGTCCCTGAAGTTTTATAAAGTTTTTTTTATTTATCGGCCCTTTTATAGGGTTTAGGGTTTAGGCTTCAGGGTTTAGGGTTGCCCTCCAGAGATGCTGAAACCCAAACCTCACTCATGGTACACTGCTACACACCGAGCCGGACCGAGCCTCACAACCCCAAGGCCCTGCACACCGGCACCTCCAACTACGAGCCTAAACCCAAAAACCTACAGCCTAAACCCAAGATGCAAAGCACCAGAGAGAGCAGAAAACCTTAAACCCTAAACCCTGCAACCCTGAATCCGACGCTTGAAACCCGGTGTAAAAAGACTAAGCCCCCCCCCCAACGAAGCCCTCTGCCTTAGTGTTCTGGATTCCTGCTCACCCCAAGGGTCCTTGTACACGGCAAAATGTGTATGTATAGATCCATACATGTATACACTAAATGTACTTTGATCTCGAAGTAGTCCTTCTTCGGGTTCTTTTTGGGCCAAATCCTATACTATATGAGTTCATGGACCCTCAGGGTTAAGAATCGGGCTTGCTTTTTCTCCGCTTGGGGATTTGAACTTAGGGCTTATAATAGGGCTTGGATTAGGATGCCCTTCTCGCCCTGGCCTGTATATGGTAATAAGTAGTATCCATGTCGCTGGACAATTTCATAGCCGCTAGCCATGTGGGCACGAATAGCACTGTATTGTGTTCCGGGTTGTGTTGAACTCTTCCCCTGGGCTTTTGAATTCTGCAGGCATGCCATTAGCTTGTCCAGGCTGCGTGCAGCGCAAGTATCACTTTCTAGACTTTCTTGCAGCTCCTCAAGCTCTGCAGCCTGATCTCCCCGTGTAAACGCTCAAGGGCAGTCTTCTGAAGTCCCCCCCCTTTTGCAAGTACCACAAGGCTCAAGTGTGGACCTTCCACCCCTCCATCCTGCTTGAAGTCCTACACTGAACACGAAGGCTAAAGAGCCTAAACCCCTACCTGGACCCCCAAGAACCAACCGTTTTAAGGAGATATATACGGAAATTATGGTAAGGAACCCGAAAAGGCAGGTTTCTCCAGGTCCAGGTAGCCAGAGACCCTACAACCAGCATGAACTGTCCAAAGCTTTCCGGTGCCGAAACCCCGAAGGACCTGAAACACTGAAAGTCAAATCCCGTCAGCCCTAAACCTCCTACTTGCCCAGCGTCCTACAGAAGCCTTGTAGTAAACTTTTGCAAAACCTGTCAAGCTACGGGGTTCTCCTCCAAGATGATATCGCCTTGGCCTCGGATCAGAGTGT